CGAGGCGTCGCCCCGAGGGCTGCACCGCCCGGCACTCGATGGGGGAAGCAGCCGCAGGCATTTTTCACAGAAAAAGCGAGCGGGATCCCGCGGCAGCGTCACTGCCAATCACTAACTGGCAGCTACAGTTTCATTTACATTTATGAAACTTCTGCTAAGAGCCAAGTAGGTACACCGCTGCTTTCCCGTTGTCCTGTGGCAGGATTTATAGCAGAACACGCGGAGGTATATTTTTATCTCGCCAAGTGGTGATGTGGAGTACCTGGTAAATACAAAAATTGTGAGGCTTGTTTTACCAAACAAGTGGAGCGCTCTGGGTAGTTCTAATGAAAGCATGAAATTATCCTACAACAATAAGAAATCTCCATTTCACTGTTCAATAGTGAATTTCAATAGTCAATATCAGTATTGTAGTTTTCTGGGTTTTGTTTTTCATGTATGGAATGCTAGAAAAGACTTATTCCTGAGAAGACTAGAAGGTAGTTTATCTAAGATAAGCTAATTAACTTTTCAGAATTATGCAGAAGTGTACAGAGGGAAGCATCTTCCCTGCATATACAATAAATAGCTTTTGCCTGACCTCAGCATTATGTATCTATCTATTTGTTACTGGAAGAGTGTACTTTGCATTACAGTTCTGTTTATATCATTGTTTTCATTCCCAGAATACACCAAAAAACCCCAGTTTCCTAAAGTTACTGTAGGCTTGCCTTTTTTTTCCTCCTAGAATTCCTCAAAATGCTGGAGGATACATAATTTTTGCATACCTGCAGCATATATCATATTGTGAGTAAGTGGAAATACAGACTGACATCTCTCTCCCTTCTCCCTGATTCTTCCTGTGTGTTTTTGACATTCCTTGTTAAGCTGGGCTACCCATCTAAAGAGTCCTTCCTATTTTCTTTTGACAGTTCTGGTATTTATGTTACCAAATGTCCTTCAATCAATTGTAATAAAATTAAGAGAGGAATGTATTGACTATCTTTTATGTATCTTTGTTCCGATAATGCGTAAGTAGTTATAAATTGTTACGTGTATGTGATTGCATTGCTAACGCAATTGAAGGTTACCGTTGCAGGATTTGTGTTTATTAATGGCTTCATAGCCCCTTGCAAGAGAAGTTTATTCTGCTCTATAGATATTGCCAATGGGATAGATAAATTCTAAATAAGGAATTCAATGCACAGAAAACCTGTCATCCGTATAGCCGTTCCCAGTTAAAATGTACTGAAAAAGGCCAGTAGAAATGCAGCTATAGATAGTATCCTGTTGCATATTTTTAGCCTCTGATGCAAGCTATGAGAGCTACCGTTGAAACTTTATGCAACTTTTGTATATTGCACTTCTACTTTTTAGACCTAGGATTAAGCAATGTTAAACACTGGAATTTGGAATGGGATGGGTACCTGTCTGATTCCTTGGTGAACTGATGGTGTTGAATGATGTTCAATGCAATCTTCAAGTGATCATATTGAAACTACTTTTTTCTCCATTAAATAGGAAAGTTAATTCAGAGAGAAGAATTAAATTCCTAAAAGTTATATGTCAAACACTGCAGAATGCAACTGTTAATTTTTTATGCTATCTTTTTTGAAAGTAAGGTTTTTATGAACTCCGGATAAAACAGGTCTCCCTTTTTATAAGGCGAATTTATTCAGCATAGTTCTATATTGCAGCTGCTGATCATATTTCATAGAGCTGTTAAAGCACTTAAAACCTAAAATTAGGTACTGTCTGGTAGAAAATATTTCAAATCACTCCTTGAAGAAATAAATAAAGAAGTGGACTTTAAAAAATATGAATTTTTAAACTCTGTCCTTGAACAAAGGTAATCTTGCTGTCCTTTTAGTCAAAATAAGACAAACTAACTCACTGATTTCAACATCCTGTGAGCTTTTTCTTTTCTTTATCTCCTACGTTTTTATTATAGTTTTAAACTGACTGTATTTGATATCATAACGTGATATTTTGTTCAAGCAGTGTTCACTGTGGCAACGGTTATATTAACAAGTATCAGATTAACTTCTAACATACCGGAACTTGCAGTGATTATTCTTATAATTATTAAGAACTGAAATGTAAGTTCTGTTGCTGCTTGGCATGAATGTTTTTGTATAGTTCTTAATTATAGAAGTTGTAAACTTGCTTTTTTCCAGACTTACGACGAGTTAATTTTACAGATAAGTGTTTGTAATGCATGCTTTTAGCTGTAGTTTTCTGTTTCTGTTTTTTTTTTTTTTTTCAGTAGAACATGTGGGCAGTTTACTTTCTCATTGTCATTCAGAATTTGCAAGAAGAATGCAAGCACAGGGCATCAGACTAACAGGCATCTGTCAAGTTTATCAAGTGTTTTTAAAGCTTTATAAAAGTTAAGCACTAAACCAGGTCTAGTAGCAGAAACACTTAAGATATCTTAGGTTTTACTTTACACTTCATAATCCAATGCAATTTCTATTACCTCAGATATCTATAAACTTCTTGACATTTTGCATTAGAAGAGCAGTGTTTACATTGTGCAAATGGAAGAAAAGTCATCATTTAACAGGTTTATAAGTAAACTTTTAATATGTAGTATTAAAGGTAATTTTACTGTGGGTTTTCCTTTTTTAGATTTAAATATTGTGTAAATGTCTGTCCAACTGTAACCTTTTCTGTCATTGAAAAGCGTTAATTGATCTTGCTGGCCCTGACATAATAGTTTAGTTTGATATTTGAAACCTTTCAGCTTTGGCATGGCCCTTTAATCACCCCTGAGATTTCAGGGCATGGTTCTACTGAAGGCATAGGGCTGCTACTCTTTTAAAAATTAAATAAAAATGGTTATTAAAAATAAATTCTCTTTACGTCCTTTTAAATTGAGCAGACATTTTATCCATTTAAGCCCTTTGGCTTAGAGTAAACATTAAAACCTTTTTTGTTTTACTCATATGTACTAGGTGACATTTTAGATGTTGCTGTATAGAAATCAGATTTTTATGAAATAATTTTTTTGCCAAGTCCACACTTCTGTGTTGCACTGTCATTGAATTTATCATTACATCAGAAGCGCTTAAAGTAACTTGGATCCACTTCGCAGCGTGAAAACTCAGATATGAAAAGTGTTTATCTGACAAGTAAAAAGTAAAATGTATTTGAAAAGCCAATAATACTTGCATTTTTGTCCATACTGTAGGTCCTAATACTGCCAGAAAGGTTCCCTTTGGGGATGCCTGTAATATGGGACCCCGGTGAAGAATATTTTAGAGCACTTTGTCTCCTAACCTGAGAAATGTGTCAAATAGCTGGCCCACCTTTTGCTTCCGTGTTTAACAGTGAAATTACTTTGATGATTGATTATACTGTATCAAAATGCCTCTTTGGACTTTCATGTTCATAGGACTGTATACATATGACTATTGTCAGATATTTGAGCCAAATGTCAAATCATAATAGCTGTTA